GCTCGTAGATGATGATAAATAACATAGTTATGTATAATATATTACATTTCTGACTGTATATCCCTGTAATTATTACACACTGTAGCTTTAAGATATAGAGGATCCTTTTTCAGATAAATAACAACTTTTCATCAGATGTTTTTTTTAGCTGATCTTAAATCTCTGGATCTTTTAAATCTTTGAGCTTTGACATTTTGTCCTATTATTTATTTACTTTATTTATTTTAAAAGTAAAATGTATATCTAATGTATATCTAAACTACGGGTGTAAATCACATCCATCATGGCGATTCGATTCAGTATCGATTTCCTGACCCAACGATTCGATTATTTTCGATACTCAAGAATACACCACGATTCGATTTGATTAATTGGTTAAAACTTCATTCACTGAAAAATAATAATACCCCTGCGTTATAAATCTATTTTTTGGGGGTAATTTATCAGACCAAATGGTTCAGAAAACAGCTCTCATTTTGACGAGGAGGAAATGCTTGGTATAGATCTGCTTTATAAGTAAAGTTTGCAGTAAAGTTCTATTTTCAACTAACTAATATTAGTTTGGGAGACATACATGGAGTAGGAAATATTGCTGATCTGGTAATAAAACAACTTTACAATGAATCCTGTTTCCCACACACCCTCTCCTCACTCTAACTACTGCATGTGGATTTGATTTAGGAAACTTTATAAGCCGCACTTTACTAATACACATTACTGTTACAGCGGAAAAACTTCTACTTTTTTTCTGGCTATTTTTCATGATACAGTTGGACATAAGTATCTTGTAATCAGTAGAAAAATATCCATCTAATTTTTTATTCAGTTTATTGATTTTATGCTGTGTATAATGGTACATTTTAATAAAACACACGGAAATCTTTTGAAAAAAACATGCATAAGAAGCAATACCATAGAAATCTGCGCTTTAATTTGTCCAGATTCCCTTTTATTAGGAAAAAAATGTATTTAGAACTTTTTTTGGACACTTTTGGCACATCCGCGCCAAAATTGTAGGTCCATCTGCGCCACTGTCCACTAAAACCTTTGTGGAACAAATGTGCTTTAACCTATTCGTCCGGGGAGGGGGGTATGCAAGTTATAAAAACTTTAACCTTCTCTATAAAGTGTTAAAACTTTGGAGCTTCACTTGATTTAATCAGATATGTAATTTCAGGAGGAAATTTGCCCCTAAAACCCTCTGGGCTTAATGGGATAAGCTATTAGCAAAATGAAACATTCGTTGCAGCCAAAAAATCCTCTGGGCTGTGCTTTCGTCACTTCATGACCTTTACCTTTAACTGCCATTTGTGTTTAGTGTCAGGATCTTGATTTTATGCTGTGTATAATGGTACATTTTAATAAAACAGGGAAATTTTTTTCTAAAAAAAAAAACATATGCATAAGTAGCAATACCATGGAAGCTGTACTTTTATTAAACCGATTCCCTTTTATTAGGAAAAAAACGTAATTTGAACTTTTTGGTCGTGTTTCTTTTTGCTCCATTGTGTCAGATTACATAGATATCGCATCAATGCAGTGGTTTCTAAATTTTTCTTCCTGGGATGCCCTTTAATTTACAAGTATTTGCCCCCAATTTCCAGCTAACCTATATAGCTTTTGAAGAATAAGTCAACTGAGGTAAATTACATGTTGCAAGATTATAATCTACAATCTATTAATTAAATCACCAACTACTACATGTAAAGTGCTATTATTTTAAGTTCTATCAGGATATTTGGAGCTCATCGGTATCTGCAGATTGACGATCACAGCATCTAATCAATCAATTCTTTAATAATGCTCTCATGTAGATGGATATTGTATTATTAGGTATTAAAATGATGGGATATGATAAAGTATTACAAATTCCCAACTGTTTAGTTGAAGGAGACGACTTTTTTAAATCAAAGTGACTCACAGGCTGAATGAACCACAGCAGCCTCAATGTGTCCTTGAATTGCAGTTTACTTATTAAATAACAAATTCTGCTTTTCAGTTGATGCTTCATTCGGTAACCACTTCTATACCAAAGAGTGTTGTTGTAACTGACTTGGTGGTATGAGGCGGGGTCCAAGCAATAATCAGAAAAGGAGAATATTCCTGACCAGTTTGGCACGATCAAGCTGAAAAGCTTCAGATTCTAGTTACCTGATGATTCTATTGTGCGTTTTAAAGTTTCATAATATAAGCTTGGGGTTCTTTCTTTCTCTTCGTACATGTTTGTGTTTTTTTCTTTGATCTTGGAGACGTTTTATTAAATGAAATCACACGGCGTATTTCTGTTAGCAGCTGACTTTGCTGATTTTCCTCTCCTTGTGTCTGTTTGCTTGCAGCTCTGAAGGAGAACAGCTCAGAGGTGGTGCAGCCTTTTCTGATGGGCTGTGGCACCAAGGAGCCAAAGATCACCCAGCTGTGTCTGGCTGCCATTCAGAGGCTCATGTCTCATGAGGTAGTGTCTGAGGTAAGGACAGAGAACTGTACAGGATTTCAATTGATGCTGTAAACAACATTTTGAAAGCTGATCTTTTTAGTGCAGAAGTAAACAATCCGTGTATGGTTCGTTCTTTGGTTTTTTGCATTTATAAACGACGAAATAAACAACAAAAAAACAAAACAAGCATGTAGTTTTTTGTTTTTCCGTTTTTAAAACGAAATTAGAAAAACGGCATTTGCAAAAATGAAAAAAGGATACGTTTTTGGATTTTTTTTAACTGCAATGGTTAAACCAAAGAAAAACTTTTATTTTGTTGTTAATCCAACGG